CCCTTCACTAAGTATGTTGTCTGGAAATAACTCAATTTTCAGCCGTGCAGATTTAGAGATGATGCAGAAAGTCTCAGAAGCGACAAGTGTTGGTCAGGTATGCTCAAATTTTCTCATTATCTCCCCCACAGTACCAAATCGGCCGTTTTCTTTTCGCTTCTTGCAATTACATTTGGAGGTTTTGGAATCTTTTAATGTCAAATTTTGTTGTTTTAGGACTGTTTAAACTTAAGTGGAATGTGAGTAAACATTTGCTTTATATACTAACACATCATACCTCACATACTTGCATTTCTGGATCTGAGTTCATAGCTTATGAGGTTAAATTACCTGTGGGAGGATGGTCTGTTTTGGGTACTTTGTTTTGGTAGTGGATCAAATAATATGAACAAAAATATTCTGCTGCAGGATTTACTAGTTTGACTAACATGTTCTCTGTTAATTTTATAGTTTTGAAACTAGAATTCATAGGAGATAATCCTTACGTAACCATCGGTGTCTTTTGTGTATGTTTATAAATTCAGGAAAAGATAACACAGCAAGGAGACCACGAATCTCTGTTCCGAGACATACTGGCTGGCTATGCAAAATGGGAATTCGACCCGTCGGACCTGAAAAATCCTTTCCCTGAAAATGAGGGCTCAGTTCACATTTGGCAAGGCCTTGAAGACAAGATCATTCCTTATAAACTAAACCGCTATATTGCAGAGAAGCTTCCCTGGATTCGTTATCATGAAGTTCCTGATTATGGCCATTTTCTTATTTTTGAGAGTCATCGATGTGAAGCTGTTTTAAAAGCACTTTTGCTTGGAGAATAAGCTCCTATGTTGATAGCAGGCCTAATATCTATAGGTATGTTGTTGAGTAAACTGTTGATGTTTCTGGAGCAACAATTTCTTGAATGCTGCAATGTGCTTCATATATATGTAGAAAAGTTCTTCTGTGTAAAGTCATGGTTACATCGCAAAATAAAAAATTTATCAGCTTACTAATACTGTGCTAATTGACAAAACTTTTAAGTGTGGATTGGGCTTTTTGCCTGTTTGTAGGCTCTGATTGGCTTTGTTGTGAGCCTTCAGCCTCTTTGTGTCTTTGTTGGGCTCATTGTTTTGAGTTTACGTTTGTGTAATTGCCATTGTATTTTCCCTCTAAACCAAAAAAAAAAAAAAAATTACTGCCATGCAATTTGACGCTGATAGCTTGAAGAGAATCATCTTTTTCACTAGCCATGTGCAAAGCAATATAGGAGAGACAAGAACCAAAAGCAGCGGAAACCCAAAAATAGAGGAAAAACCAAGAAGACAAAAGCAGACAACACCAGAAAAACGCAGTAGCAAATCAACAAGGAAACACAACAACACGAATCAAGATGGCATAAGGGGGGAAGAGCAAAAAATCAGCAGCAACCCAGGAGGTTTGCTCTGATACCATGCGAACAATTCAAGCACAAGCAGAGAATGCCAATATATTCACAAAACAATCAAAATAATAAAACTGCTGTAAGCTTAGAATATATAGGCATATAAAGATGCCCTAGATAAGTAAATGACCTAACTACCCTAAAAAGACACTAACTCAAATATATATTAATACTGGCTATACAATTGTCACAGAATTTGTGTAAGGTTTTTCGGGTGAGAAAAAGTTACCTTGAATGTCTTATGTAGCCATGTATTTATAGACTCCTTATGTGCTAGGGTTTGAAGAATAATTCTTATTTGGTTAAGATTATTCTTACCTATAAATAGGAAATTGGAATTAATCAAGGAGATTTGATGGAAATCTCATTCTTGATTTGGGGGGATATTCTCATCTTAAATTAAAGATAATTTCTCTAATTAAATATGATTTAATTAGAGTAATTAGTTAACTTAAAGAATATTCCTTTTATCATGTGTCACCCATTTATTGGTTGCTGAAATATGTGTTCTCACAATAAATACGCTAGTACACCCAATCTGTACCTTAGATGCAAAGAAGATAAGTTCAGTCGCCCACAACATGAATATGTACCTTGTTAGATATTTATACATCCACTTCCCAAGATGGTATATAAAATAGGGAGCTTTAGTTTTAAACCATAATATAGTTTACTAATTTAGTAGAAAGAAATACAATTTCATCTAATTAGCATAAGGCCAAAGACCAAAATGAGTACCCAATTTTACAAAAATATCATTAAAAAATATCAAAATTACACACAATGCCATTCCTTCTAAGGCAAGCATACTATGCCACATGTCCACATCCAGCCAACCACCACCGCCGCCCAGCCACCTGCCGCCGGTCGCCTCCGACCAGCCGCCGCCGCCCACCTCCGGCCAGCCGCCGCCGGCCATCTGTCGCCATCGGCCACCTCCGGCCACCTACCACCGCTGGACTCCAGCGCCGCCAGCCAGCAACCACCCATCACCGGCCTGCCACCGTCTGCATGGGACCAACTCCATTGCCCCTTATTCACTTTTTTAAAAAAAAAGAAGATTTTGTGTCATTAAAGGGACTCGAACCTTGACCCTCAAAGGAAGAGGGCTCACTCACAAACCACTACACCAAACTTGATTTTGTAATATTTATTCAATTATACAATATTTATATAAACGATCAACGGTTTTAAAAATTAAAAAAAAATCATTTCACCACATATTCACATAAAAACTGCAAATAAAAGCAGAAACTGAAACAAAAATACAATATAGATATCAATTATATATATATATATAAAATTAATTTTATAGAAGCAAAATGGAGGAACCAAGATGAAAGTACTAAAATGGAAACTGCGATGCAGAAACAGAAACTGCGATGCAGAAATAGAAACTGCGATGCAGAAACAGAAACTGCAATGCAGAAACAGAAACTGCAATGCATAAAGAGAAACTGCAATACAAAAATAGACACTGAAATGCTGAGCCTGGGCAAAAATGCTCAGCTCTAAAGTTAAACAAAACAAAACAATATATTTTTTTTATTCAAAACATGTTGGGAGAGAGGGAATCAGACTGAAAACCACCTAGAATGTAAAATAGGTTATTCATGTTTCTGTTTTTTGCATTGCACATTCCGTTTTCTGCATTGCAGTTTCCGTTTTCTGCAATACCGACGCATCTTCTACAGTTCTCACGAGTGAGAGAAATGCATTAATAAATGCAGAAGGCACACAGTACTAAAACTACTAAAACTAATATCAAAACACAGAGGCAGTTTATGACAAAACATATGCTCAAATTTGAATACAAACCAAAAGAAAGCCATGTTCAGAGGTGCAATAGAAAAAACCTAGATTAAGCGCTCCACTGATGATTGTTGTCTCATCATGCGTGAGTTCACCTCCCTTACCAGCCTAAAATGGACAGAAAAAGCAAGTCAAAGAAAATAGAAAACCATTAGAATTGGTAAAACTGTTGTGGAATTTTCAGCAGCCATTCACAAATCACAAAGCCTGATATAACCCCAAGAAGTAGTTGTATCATTTATTACTACCACTGTTGTGCAACAAAAGAAAGAGCTTTCACCAAAATTAGTAGTCATGAACAAAATCTTGGCAAATGCAAGCAGTGGCATGTCATAAATACTTCCAACCTAAGCAGCTTACCTCTTTGCCATGAATAGAGACTAGGGCTTTCAACTGTGCTCGCCTAAACAAATCATCACTATGACCAAGTACAGCATCCAGAACCTGAAACCATGGGTTAAATTAAAAGCTATAATAGCAATATATGAATCTGAAACATATCGAACTTCACTCCTTATTCTGTTTTTCTGAATAAGGAAACATACTTTTTCATCCAAATATGGAAATGATCATGAATATAGTATTGAAACACCATTTTAGTCATCTCAGTGTTGTTGATGCAATATCTTAAATGTCTAATAACCCCAAAAACAATTAATTAAAAAAATTGAAGAGAAAATTGAAATTCGACGATGCAGTACAAGGATATAAGCATTACCTTGGCAAATGGGTACGCAATTGGATAACAGATGCACATAAAAATGCGAACAAGTCAAACGAAATTGGCACCAACAGAAAGTCCATATCAGCATCATCGTTGTCGTCGTCCGAATCTAACACTAGGTCCCTCGCACCGTTCCACATCAGCATCATCGTTGTCGTCGTCCGAGCTAGGCAACTAGGGTTTTGGTGTTCGGTGATAGCATAGCACCGTCGAGAAAGCATAGGTAGGAGGAAGGTCGGAGCTGGCTTGGGGTGCGACGCCGGTCAAAACTTGACCGGTCCGGTGGCTGGGTGGCCGACGTGACAGTGGCTGGGGGGTTTTGTCGATGTCCGTCGAAACAGAGGGGAGGAGAAAGGGAGAAGACGCAGAGAGAGAGAGATATGAGAAACTAACGAATTTGGGTTAGGTTTTTAAATAAAAAGGGTATAATTGTCTTTTTAATGACTAATGTAAGGTGGGTCAACAAATCTGGTCTTCCTCTTTGGCCTAATCCAAAATAACAATTCTTTTCTAGGTATTAAAACCCAAACCAAAATATCAAATGTCTTAAATACTAATAAGTAAAGTTATCTATGTCTAATACCTAATTTTCCTTGTAAAATATTGCTCCTTATAATTTTCCTTTATTTAGACTAACCCATCACATGTTTCTCACGTCATGAGGCATATGTACATATGATTATTGCCACTCTTTGAAGTAGGCTTGAAGGCAAATCATGTGAAAATAGATAATATCAAGGCAAACTGATAGGTGGGCAGAACAAAATCATGTAGTCACATGTTTTATGTTTTCCTCTTTGTGTTCAAATCCAAAGTTGATCATGGATTTGAGTATTACATTTCTATTTAAATGTGATTGGAAGTGACAAGTGAGTGAGAAAGATAGACTGAAAAATCACATAAATCACATAAATACATAAATAATTGTTGCATTCCTAAAAGGACACAAATTAATGTGCAAACAACCAATTAAAAATACCCGCCAGTGCACGAATCTAACGAAGTATAGATTATGTAAGTACGGGGTCGATCCCACGAAGAACTTGTCGGTTTCCTATAAGTTCTAATTTGAGTACGTAAAGAACACTAATTTTACACAACACACAAACACAATACAAATTGGAAACTAAAAATGAAGTAAGGAAGATAAAAGAAATGAAACAACACAAGAAAATAAAGAAAAACACAAACAGCACTTTCTATCACCCGTTTATCACCATTTGGACAGATTCGTTTCTCTGTTTTTCAGTTTCGACCTCTGTTTGTAACATAAATAGAAGCACCAACCAAGTAAGCTTAGTAGCGTACGATTGATATTTTTCTTATTTGGGTTATTTGCTGGTTTTGTTTGAGTTAATTGTTTCACCTGTCTTATCCCAACTCCCAATAAAAATAGAATGCATGTTTTGCACGCCTTAGCTTCACCTTGTTTGTTTCCAGGGAAAGAAAAAACAAAAGAATATTATTGCATGTGAGATTGTGGTTTATGTTCCCTTGTGGGTCTTATTCACTTGTGTTATATGTATTTAGAATAGAGACTGCTTTTTAGTGGGAAGAGGTTAGGTGAGATGAGCAATTCAGCTATATGGTCTCAGCTCTGCAAGGGCGCACACTAGAAACAGAGCCACACCCATCCAATTTTCCTTAGGTGGGATTTTGATTTCTTCCATGCTTTTTCAGATTTATTTCTTTCTTTTTGTTAATATCTTATTTTCTCCCAAATTCACTTTCTAGGTGGGTTGAGCAAGAAGGTCTCAGCTTCCTGAGCCAGGGCTCACTCACACCACAAGGAACAGAGCCAGACCCACTTCTTTTCAACTTTTTCCAGGTGGGTTTACTGATTTCTTTCTATTTTTCTTTTCAATTCATGCTAGTTGTGCTGCTCTGCTATAGTTTTCTGAAATTCTGATTTGTATGCAATTGCCACTTTCTATGTTCAGAGATATGAACACTTAGTTTTAGCTTTCCTGATGTAAATACTTGTAAAATATTGCTCCTTATAATTTTCCTTTATTTAGACTAACCCATCACATGTTTCTCACGTCATGAGGCATATGTACATATGATTATTGCCACTCTTTGAAGTAGGCTTGAAGGCAAATCATGTGAAAATAGATAATATCAAGGCAAACTGATAGGTGGGCAGAACAAAATCATGTAGTCACATGTTTTATGTTTTCCTCTTTGTGTTCAAATCCAAAGTTGATCATGGATTTGAGTATTACATTTCTATTTTAATGTGATTGGAAGTGACAAGTGAGTGAGAAAGATAGACTGAAAAATCACATAAATCACATAAATACATAAATAATTGATGTGCAAATGTTCAATCCCAGTGTTTTTTTTCTCTTTTGTAACATAAATAGAAGCACCAACCAAGTAAGCTTAGTAGCGTACGATTGATATTTTTCTTATTTGGGTTATTTGCTGGTTTTGTTTGAGTTAATTGTTTCACCTGTCTTATCCCAACTCCCAATAAAAATAGAATGCATGTTTTGCACGCCTTAGCTTCACCTTGTTTGTTTCCAGGGAAAGAAAAAACAAAAGAATATTATTGCATGTGAGATTGTGGTTTATGTTCCCTTGTGGGTCTTATTCACTTGTGTTATATGTATTTAGAATAGAGACTGCTTTTTAGTGGGAAGAGGTTAGGTGAGATGAGCAATTCAGCTATATGGTCTCAGCTCTGCAAGGGCGCACACTAGAAACAGAGCCACACCCATCCAATTTTCCTTAGGTGGGATTTTGATTTCTTCCATGCTTTTTCAGATTTATTTCTTTCTTTTTGTTAATATCTTATTTTCTCCCAAATTCACTTTCTAGGTGGGTTGAGCAAGAAGGTCTCAGCTTCCTGAGCCAGGGCTCACTCACACCACAAGGAACAGAGCCAGACCCACTTCTTTTCAACTTTTTCCAGGTGGGTTTACTGATTTCTTTCTATTTTTCTTTTCAATTCATGCTAGTTGTGCTGCTCTGCTATAGTTTTCTGAAATTCTGATTTGTATGCAATTGCCACTTTCTATGTTCAGAGATATGAACACTTAGTTTTAGCTTTCCTGATGTAAATACTTTGATTTGGGTACATTGACTGAAATTACATGTAACTTCAAAATAGGGTAAATTATCATCTGATTTGAGGGATTAAAGATTCAACTGAGCAAGTTACCTAATCTAGAAAGGATATATCATGTTGTACCACTTACCAAAAACGAATATTATCAGTTGATTCTTATCTATATATATTCTATGACTGTGTTACTAACATGATATGTTCTATGGTACTATTTTCTCCCAGAAATGATTGTACCAGTAGCAATAGCTTTGACAGTGGGTCTTCTAGGGTGGGCTTATCAAGCACTAAAGCCTCCTCCTCCGAAAATATGCGGATCGCCTGGTGGTCCTCCTGTTACTTCACCAAGAGTGAAGCTCAGTGATGGTAGGCATTTGGCCTACAGGGAGTTTGGAGTTCCAAAAGAAGAGGCAAAACACAAGATCATTGTTGTTCATGGCTTTGGAAGTTCCAAAGATTTGAGATTACCTGTTGCTCAAGTATTTTTTTTCAACTCTTCTTTTAAATCCTGCATGCCTTGTCATAACTTTTTCCAGTATTGGGGGGGATATGCTGTAACACTGAGTTGATATGCTGGTCATGAATGCCTTCTATACGCTTTTGATTGATCATGCGTAATTAATTGATAATTGATAGTACTAGACATGAATGCTAATATGCAACTTCTCCCTGGTCTTTCTATTATCCCAATTTGGGAGATGTTTCATATCTAAATGTTTACATTCTAGTGTACATTGCACCGTTAGTGTGTTGGAAAAATGGCTCACATTAAGGTTGCAAGTGAAGAAGGAGGCGACCGGTCGCAAGGTTTGGGCGACCGGTAGTTTTGAAGCAGAGTCGAAGTTTGGAGAAAACGAGGCAAGCGACCGGTCGCAAGGTGCAAGCGACTGGTCGCTTTTACGCAGAGTGTAAAGCGACTGGTCGCCAGTGTTGCTGTTTCGTTTTTCCACGCGTTTTTCAAGGTTCTCTTCACATGTGCTTGTTCCCTACCTAATCTCTCAGGCTTCCAAAGAGTTTTATGGGTCTAGGAAGTCTAGCAAGGTTCTGGAAAAGCTGGAAAGGAGTACCTACCCTATAGCTCTAAATAGGGTGACTGAAGATGCAACCACTAATAACTAGCCTTTATTCTGCCCAAGTTGTGGTCCAAGTCTAGAAACCAAGGGGAGAACGTGGGAGAAAAGGATGGAGCTTTCTCCTAGGTCTAAAGGCTTGTGTATTAAAGGGAAGAGGAAGCAAGACAGCAAGTTGAGTGGTTAATCTCAAGGGGTGGTCAAGTAGCTGGGAGCTAGTGTGTCCACAAGAGGTTAAACTCACCGAGGGAGGAAGAGAGAGAGTGCAATCAGTTCAAGATAGGAGCTGAGTTGGGTCTTGAGAGTCTAGACACCAAGGAGGGAAACACCAAGTATGAAAGAGTGTTCACAAGTGCATCAAAGTGTTGAGAAAGGGGTGAGAAAGAAAAGAGAGCTTGGGAGAGAATAGAGTTCTAAGGAGGTTTCTGTGTAAACCAAAGTTGTAACTTATTCTTTCATTAGTGAATTTCTCAAGGAGATCACCAAGAGGATGTAGGCAATTGTTGAACCTCTAAAATACTTGTGTCATTTGGTGCTTGGTTGGTTTCTCAAGTGTGTGTGTGTGATTCATCCATAATTGTGTGTGTCACAAAGTCCATCAACAACAAGATCATTAGGGGAGTGTGTGAAAGTCTTGTCCATTTTCACAACATAGTGTATCTCTCTCTCTCTCTCATCCCCTCTTTGATATCAGGAACTTGTAGAGGAGTTGAGCATATATTTCCTGTCCTTCGACAGAGCAGGCTATGGGGACAGTGATCCATATCCCTCGCGTTCTGTGAAGAGCGAAGCATTCGATATTCAAGAGCTAGCTGACAAGTTGCAGATTGGGTCTAAGTTTTATGTAATCGGAATCTCAATGGGAGCTTACCCTGTTTGGGGTTGCTTGAAATACATACCACATTGCATGCCTTGTCATAACTTTTTCTAGTATTGGGAGGGATATGCTGTAACACTGAGTTGATATGCTGGTCATGAATGCCTTCTATACGCTTTTGATTGATCATGCGTAATTAATTGATAATTGATAGTACTAGACATGAATGCTAATATGCAACTTCTCCCTGGTCTTTCTATTATCCCAATTTGGGAGATGTTTCATATCTAAATGTTTACATTCTAGTGTACATTGCACGGTTAGTGTGTTGGAAAAATGGCTCACATTAAGGTTGCAAGTGAAGAAGGAGGCGACCGGTCG